GATGGAGCCCACTGTAAAACCTGGAATGGCGCAGAGTGTAATCATTCTCCCTGATGCAGAAGCGTCCCTGCTTGGTGTAATAGGGAAAGTGGTGGGAACCAATAGCAGCCAATTTGCAGGAGCTAAATCCCAGGAATCTGGAATGGGAACATTCCTGGAGGGTAGAGGTGTGGACACGTTTCCCAGACACCCAGGGCAGCTGTGTCCTGCTGGCCACACTGGCCAAGGCCAGCAGGGCCTGCTGCAGCGGCACAGACACGGCGGGTTGCTGATGACCGTACCGGCCCCGAGCGCAGCAAGCGGACCGGGCCCTGCGGACCGGGCCCTGCGAGACACACAGACAAAGCAGCCGTGGAGGTGAAGCTCACTTGCATGTATTGAAAACACGAAGGCAACATGGATTCATGTCAAAAACACAATTTCTGTACAAACAGTGATAAAATGTAAAACTCAAAACAACCAAAATAAAACCGGAGTAACTGTAAACCACCCGACAGCACACAGTCACCCCCTCACCTCCAGCATCCTGAGAGAAAGACCAAGAAGCTACACGCTTGCCTTTTAAATTAAACATCAGAAAACAGAAAAATAAGCCAAGAAAACCCAAACTGTTCTAACCAACCCCCCTCCTGCTCCCCCTGTCAGACAGTCAGTCAGAGTGTCCGCGGGCCAGTGAGTCAGTCAGTGTCCATCAGGGTGTGCACTCTAGAGAGGGAGAGTCAGTGTTGGTCAGTCAGTGCCTTCTGGTCAGTGTCCATCAGAGTACACCCTGGTCAGTGTGGGGGTCAGTCAGACTGGCCCGTCTCTCTCCTGTCAAGGCAGTTCCATCAGGAGTGCAGGACTCTCTGACAGAAAGGTTTCCTATTGTAAATTAATGCACAAAAGTAACAGGAAAGGCCTCAAACTGAAATACATTTAAAAACCTTGGCACAGGGATCTGTACAACCAGGTGATCTGTACCGTCAGTAAAAATTCCCACAAGCCCTCCGCCATCGAAACTGCGAACACGAACGAATATTCCAACTTTGGCGTCGTTTTAAAAGTCTCAAAAGTGACTTAAAAAGGTGCTCGTTACGGATTTTAAAACAGCTGTTTTATTTCCCCTTCGCCCAGGAGTGGAGGACCAGGGTGTCCGCCTCTCGCTGCAGACGCCTCCGGGGTCACACGGCGTCTCCCCCGAAAGGCCAGAGCTGCCCCCCCCCAAACCAGCTCTTCCACTGGGACTCACTGCGGGGGGAGGCGAGAAGCAGCCAGCCCTGCGGTTGTGAAGAACAATTCTATCAACGCCTGAGCCTCTCTCTCTGCCGAGCCACATCTGCCTCACGCTCACATAAAACCGCACCCACCCCAGGGGCCTGAGCTGGGCCCCGGGAACGACCGCAGGGGAATCATGCGGCAAAGGCTCGAAGGGCTACAGGCCGGGCCAGCCTGCAGCCAGGACAGCAGGGCGAGGGGCCGTCCTGCAGCGAGATGGGCAGCACTCGGTCCTCCAGGGCTGCGTCACGCGGACAGACAGAGACACGCTGACAGACAGACAGACAGACAACACGCTGTTCGCTGCTCGCCTCCATGAGTCCGGCGGTACAGAACCAAGCTGCCGGTCTCGATCAGGCGGGAGGGGTGGGGAGGGCTGTGGGGACATAGCCCCCTCCTCACACAGGTGACCCCCCCCATCTCCTTGTGGGGAGGAGACAGCTGCACTGGTCACTGCCCACAGCCCCACCAGGCCGCCCTGTGTGTCTGACCGGGAACCCCGAGCCCGCGCCACAGGCAGAAGGGCGCTCTTAGTTAAAGGGGTGCAGGCTGGACGGTAAACAGAAAGGGGCAGCAGGGTCAGTGCTAGTCGCTCTGTGCAGTGATCCGGGCAGTGTCTCCATGCCCGTCACCAGCAGCTGCCAGCCCAGCGCCAGTAACCCAGCAGGCCGAGGCGAAGAGCAGGACCAAGACAAGACAGAAAGAGCAGCTCCCCTCTGTCTCAGGCCCCGCCACCCACCAGCACGAGCCCCACCCCTAACGAGGCCGGGCTCGCCAGTCCCGGCACCCCTGCAGGGGGCGAGGCCATGACGCTCATTACAGGCCGGCGGGGCAGCCAATCAGACGCCGCCTCCAGGCAGGACAGGCCCACCTACTTCCTGCAGCCTCAGCCAATGAGGTTTCAGAATCGTGCTGCGGAGGCATGTGCGTGCCGTGTGCATGCGTGTCACTTGTGGGAAAGCAGTCTGTCCGTCTGTCCGTCTGTGCTGCTGCAGTAGAGGCGCCAGTGCCCCCTGCTGGCCAGGCCGCGCTGCACGGATCTTGGGGCTCCCGCAAACTGGGGGCTCCCTGATGCCGTTTCGGTCCGCAGAGCAGCTCTCACTCACTCACACACTCTCTCTCTCTCTCTCTCTCGGGGGGGGCGGGCGCCCCAGGCACTCAGACGCCGCCCGGCCCAGCTCGTGTCCCGTGTGCAGCGCAGTGCGCCCCTCCTCACAGGCGGCACAGGCAGAACAGCGTGGGGATGAACACCCCGAAGGCGACGAGGATGGGGAACATCAGGCTGCTGTTGTCAGAGGCGTACGGGTTGGGGGTACGAGGGCCCGACTGCACGCGGTGCTTGGGGGTGGAGGATGTGCTCTTCCTCCCCTCCTCCCCTCCCTCCCCGTACTCCTCCTCCTCTTCCTCCTCCTCGCGCTTCTCCAGCCCGGGGTGCGGCTGCAGCTTTGGCACGTCTGAGGCAGAGAGCAGGGGGACAGGGAGCTGTAAACAGTGCCCGACACCCCAAAACCACCCCTTGAGAAGACTGGCAGAGCCCCAGGGTCACCCCCACTCACCGTCCAGCGTCCCCTTCATGATGTAGAGCGCGCAGACCTTGGGGTTGTCGTAGTAGCCCTGCGGACGGACGGACGGACAGGTCAGAGCCCGCTCCAAGCGCAGACAGCGCCCCCCCCAGCCGCTCACGCCCCTACCTTGACGAACTCGATGGTCAGCTTGCCGTTGAAGGTGGACACCTCCCCCTGCACGCTCAGCTTGCCCTTGCGCAGGGAGAGGGGCACGACCTCGTCGTGCGCAGTGCTGTGGCCGACCTTGTCAAAGATGTCCAGGTCCTTCACCACCACGTGGCCGTTCAGCCGCACATCGAACACCTGCAGGGAGGCCAGGCCGGTCAGGGCCGAACAGCAGACGGACGCGGGCGGGAGAGCGAGACAGCGGGATGGCGGGATGGCGGCGCAGGTGTGACTTACTTTCTGCTGAGACTGTGCGAAGTAGACCTCGGCAAACTTCAGCACCAGGATGTACTCGCCCTCCTCCCGGATCGGTACCTCATAGCCGAAGGTGTCCTCGTTGTAGCGCTCCGTCTGGTACAGCACCTGGTCCTCCGGGCTGGACCGCAGGATCGGCAACCGCATCCCGTAATCCGAGGCTAGAGGAGAAGGGAGAGTGAGTGTGGCCCACGAGAGGGAAAACCTCACTTAGCAAACGGTTCACAAAGCCTGCCTCGCTGCCTCACAGCCTGGCACACCCCACATCATTGCCTCGCTGCCTCACGCACCCCGCCTTGAGCCTCCGATCTGCTGGTTACGGAGGTATACTCTGTGCTGCTGTGAGTTACACAGCAGGGAAAGAGGGAATCAAAGTGCCCAGCACCCTGATCCGCGCCACACTTTACTGTGAGCTGTGGGTTTTTACAGAAGTCTGCCCTGGGGGGGAGCACAACCCCCCTGAGCAAACTTCCCCAACGCACGCGAGAGCTGGAGAGGACGGACGGGTCCGAAGCAGCCCGGGCCCTCGGTCAGAACTCGCCCCGCTCCCGTCAGATCACACTCCCTGGTTTCACGAGGATCTCGGCAGCAGGGACAGAAATGCAGGCTGGGGCTCCGGAGACAACACTAAAAGAAGCAAGCGCCTTGAGGAATCTGGCTCGGACACAGCGGGGCGCAAACAGAGATCCGCTTTCCTGCTTCATGGAGACACTCGAGACTCCCCGTAAAACCAGGAGTGGATCAGACCGCAGTGCACTGGGAGTGTGATCTACTTCCCTGAGCTTGACACATGCACTACACACAGGGTCAGAGACCACAGTGCCTGTTTCGAGCTAACAGTGTGGCTACTACACCTTCCTGAAAACACTGAACACGGGTTCGAGCTTCAGGGAGGAACTTCCAACGCCAAGCGCACTTCCACCCCAAGAACAACAGAGGGCGCAAGCAAGCAGCCGCTGACAAGTCACATGTCAAAGTTCAACGTCTGGGGCGCAGAGGGTAAACGGAGCCAGAGGGGTTATTCGCTCGGCCTGAATGACAGACGCACAAACTCACTCAACACGCCAAACGAGTCAGACACCCACTGCACGGCCCTGCCGAGCTGCAGCAGTCTTGCGCAAACTGTACCGATTAACAGAAAGGAAACCATTTCCTCAATCTGCCACCACTGCTCTTCCCCGTATGCGCAAAGCGACATTGCAGAAGGCTTCCTGCACCTGCTACCTGCCCCTGAACACCAGCCTGCAGCTCCGTGTAAAACCCGGACTGGACCGCGCTGCCTGCCTGCCATCCCAGCAGGAGGGCTCCCGCTGAGACCCCCGGCGGCTCACCTTTCCCGACCCTCCCCTCCAGGGGGTCCTTCTTGTAATGGATGCCATAGACGTCTGTGTGCGCGTCTCCGCCGGCGTTGACGGCCCAGATGACCCGGTCGGCGAGGCTGGCGCCCCCGCTGTCCGCCCCGCAAGGCTCCCACACCAGCGACAGCACGGCCACCGCCAGCCCGGGAGCCCACAGCGCGACGCCCCGCCGCATGAGCGCTCCGACCCGGGCAGGCGACGAGGAGGCGACCGGCGGCGCAGAGCGAGGATCGGGGGCGGCAGAGGGGGCTGTGTGCCGCAGTGTCCGTGTGCCGAGCACCGCTGAGGTGCGGACCGGTGTGCCCTGTACCTGCGAGCCCTCACTTCCCGGCTCAGACCGCGGCACTCGCACCCCTCTCTCCGCCGTGCCTCTCCAGATGATTAATTACGCTTCTCAGAAGTGCAATTCCAGATCACTATAATTGTTTAGATGTCTGCTCCCAACATAAAAATCTTTGATTTCCATTCAGGCCTCCACGGTACAGCAGCTCACAGTTGCGGGTTCAAGAGAAGGAGGAAACCTAACATGCTGCCTGTGAGTCGGAGAGTAGACAGGCAGTCCAGCAGCCAATTGTGGGGGATTAGAGCAACACATCTTTTTAATATTCATGAGCGAGTGATTTTTAACGCAGACGTGCGCAACGGTGACCAATCAGAGTGCGGCAGCAGTAGACCGTGGAGCCCCGAAGCTTAGAATTTCAGGCCGTTATGTTAATATGATGCAAATGACGGCCAATGGGAGAGCGAGGGGGCGGGGCTGCTGGTTTGGTAGAGCCACAGGCCGTTCGGCTGACAGAATGCGGAAGGCAGGCGCATGAACTCGCAGCGGGGAGCGCCCGTTCCCGCGTAACTGATTCTGCCTGGTCTTTCCTCTCTTTTATACGACACCAGCAACTCAGACGTTTAAACTTTCAAATAAAACGAGGATAAATACTTTTTATGTATGTCTACGTTGTGTGCGTTAAATTGTGAAAAATGGCATGTATCCAAATCTCCCCTATGTTAAAATGGTTTAATCTGGCTAGATGCCATCTCGGCAGACTCTGGTATGTATTTCTTAAACAGAGGAAGAATCATTTACCTTTTCATATAATTAAATAGTTCATTTCCCTCCATATGAGGAGAAAATTAAGTATATTATGTTCAAAAATTATATAGCGATAAACATCTATCATAATTGGAGAGCTCTTCACTGAATGTCAATTTGTAAAACTATCCAGAGCTCGTAACCTACCTATTCGGTGTAAAGATGGTACGTCCTGGGCCTATCCAATCAGATTGGTCCAGCGCAGCGTGGCAGCAATGCATTGTGGGAGATTAGGCGAATGAATGGGTGCTGGAGAGTTTCCATGGCGACACCAGATGCTCAGTGGCTTGAGCCGGAAGTTTGTAACCAGGAAATAACACAACAGGGATAATTCAATGTCATCCTAATATCCGAAGTATATCCTAAAAAATGGAAAAGCACAATTCTAAATTCTAAATGCTCACTGAGTCTCTTTAGTCTGGAGGGAGTGTCCCACATTGACAAGCGAGAGGAACTGAGTCTCTTTTGTCTGATGTGAGTGTCCCACACTGACAGGCTGAAGGAACAGAGTCTCTTTAGTCTGAAGGGAGTGTCCCACACTGACAGGCTGAGGGAACTGAGTCTCTTTAGTCTGAAGGGATTGTCCCACACTGACAGGCTGGAGGAACTGAGTCTCTTTAGTCTG